GAATCTGCGATCTGAGAAGATATTTCTCCAATATGGGTGGCAGAACACGATGCTCCAACTTCAGGAAATGCCATCCTCTTTCTGAGAACTTAGGTTCCAACAGAAACAGAGCGGAAGACCTTTCAAATTCTTATTTAAGTATGTGAGATGCAGTTTATTTTTTCCTGTATTTGAGAGGATTATGTTAACATCCTTGAATTCTCAGCTACAGTTTTTTTTTTTTATCCCATCTGGGACCCTATAAATTCTAGATGCTTGCTTTTATGGTCACTTTTAATGGTATGTGCCATCTGAGACGGTTTTATTTCTTCAGTGGCTTTCTTAGAGTACTGAAGACTCTCTGGAACCATTTTCCCTGTATCACTGTGCTTCTTAACCAGGGACAGTACACACCAGCATCCTCGGGGGAGTTTTTCCAGATGACACAGGCCTGTTCCCCCACCCTGGAACTGCTCAGCTGCAGTCACTAGGAGTGGGGCTCCTCCAGCATGGGTGTTTTAAAAGCTCGCCAGACCAAAGAGATACATATGTACTGCTCATTGATAACCACTGCTTGACTGAAACCCTATTGGCGTGTGCGCGTGTGCGTGTGTGTGTGTGTGTGTGTGTGTGTGTGTGTGAGAGAGAGAGAGAGAGAGAGAGAGAGAAAGAGACTGACTGACTTCAGGACCCTCCAAAACCTAATTTGGATCATGACTAAGCCAGTCAGGGTCATTGGAAAAAACTTACCTGTTCTCAGTTCCTTAGGGGAGACATATGGGTGGCGACAGCAAGGAAGGGAAGGAAAAGGGGGGAAAGGGAAGAATATAAAATATATGGTGGAGATCCAGCAGACAGACTATAATTGGTAATTAAACTTGTAAATGTATTTTTCATTCCCAGCGTGGTCCACTTCATTGTTTTCCTTCCCTTTTTAAGGTATTTGCTAAACAAATGTTCATTGTGAAGTAATGATAATTTTAGAAAATGACCCTTTATGATCCAGAATCTGTTTCTTTCTTTCAAGGAGGCATTTTTAGAATAAGTTGGTTGAAAGAGAATCGGACCTAGACAGAAATTTGAAATTGTATGCACAGGGACCTGCTTGAGCATTTTCAGAAATTCTGTCTCCATTCTCCTGAGCTCAAAATGAGAGACAGCACTACCTCTTCCAATACATCACAGTGGAAACATTTAGAGGCATGAAAACTTGTTTTTCCTTTTCCCTCATTTTCAAAATCCCTGACTTGTTTATCCCTGGACACTGCCGAAGGCCAAAGACAATCTCTCGTGGGACTTCTCTGAAAGGAGTGAGTTCAGACCCAATGTCATGTGGCATTGACCCTGGACCAGCTGATTTTCTTAGGTATTAAACCCACAATGTCTAATTTGCACACAAAAGAGTTCACCTCAGTGTGGTCAATGGTGTTGAAAAGTGGACACCAAACTAGCACCTGGATCAGTCCCTCACTCAAAGCAGACCTCCAGGGGCACCTGGGTGGTTCAGTCGGGTAAGCGTCTGCCTTTGGCTTAGGTCATGATCTCAGGGTCCTAGGATCGAGTCCCGCAGCGGGCTCCCTGCTCAGGGGGAAGCCTGCTTCTCCCTCTCCCTCTGCTGCCCCCCCCTCCTTGTGCTCTCTCTTTTTCTTTCTCTCTTTTCTCTCAAATAAAATCTTAAAAAAAAAAAGACCTCTAGTAATTAGTGATTAAAGGGCTAAATATCTAACCATGTGACACATCCATAAAATCGGGAGGAAGCTAGCATTAATGAGTATGTCAGTTCCTGTTTGTTATAAGGGAGTTAGGTACAGTATGATTTAATTTTGTTACAAACACAACAGAAAACAGCCTGTCCATGTGTCTGTATGTGAGTGGATCTCCTTGCTCCATTTTTGCTGCCCTGTCCCCCCGGCTCATCACATGGCAGCCAGAATGAGCGTTTTGAAGGAGATGAGTCCGACTGTGCCCCTCCACTGATTAAAGCCCTTGGTTGGCTTTCCATTTTCCGTAGATACCAGGGAAACTTGTGGCCTTGGAGCTGCCATGATCTGACTCTTGGCCACCCCTCCCCCCTTGCCTCCTGCCGCCCTTCCCTGCTTTACCTCTCGCTTCCTTTCAGTTCCTCCAGCATGCAAGCTCACTCTGCTCTTGAATGAGTTGCTTGACCTGCCTAGAGTGGTCTTCCCCAACACCTGCCCATGGCTAATCCCCTTCAGCCAGGTCTCTGCTCTGGTGGCAACCTCAGCCCGTCTTACTTTCTTCATAGCCCTTGACTATTTGAAATCACTGGTTGACTTGTTTATTGCAGATCTTCACCCAGAGAAGCACCTTGTCTGTCTTGTTGGTCAGACCGCTCTGGCCCCTCATCGCCGATGATTGAGGGACAATAATAAAAGAGGAAAAGCATGGAAGAATATCCCCCCAAAATGTTAGCAGTAATGATCACTAGGTAGAGGATTTGGAGTAACTTTAATTGATTGCTTTTCCTTTTCGTTCATGTGTATTTCCTAATTTTTCTGTTGCCATCGTATATTATGTATGTAATTCGCATGCTTAGCCAGGCTTAAGGAAGTGGCTTTAAAGCTTCTAAGCAATTGTAGAGGGAAGGCATTATCTGCACGCTCCATGCTGAGCAGTGGGTGCTGAGTCCTTATTCTAAGGGAAGATATTTCCCCAAAGTTCTATAGGTAGTTGCCCACCTGAGTCCTCATGTGGGAGGAAAGTAGGTGTGACATGCACCAGGGTACAGATGTGGAGAGCTGTGTGTCTCCTGGATTTCTGACCTTCATCCGCGCTGGTGCGCTTTTCTCTGACAATCACAGGGTTATTTTGCTCCAGGGAAAATCCATTATAAACAGCAACACATGGGGCACTGGGGTGTGATGTGCTTTGGTACACACTGCCTTTTTTTTTTTTTTTTTCCCCAAAGAGAATGCAGAGCCGTTAGCTCCACATGTAACAGTGAGTGAACAGTCTGCCTGCCTTCTTCCAGAAAAAGAATCGACAATATAGTTTATCCTTTCAGAGTCATCTGTCTTGAGCAGTGCCTTGGCCAATAGCAACTCTTTGTACTAATAGCTTTATATATTAGAAATTTAACAGGTATAGTAATTATGTCTTAAAACAGGAGACTCATTTGTTGTGTGTGTGTGTGTGTTTCCAATTAGTTCGAGTCTGACCTGATGAATTGCATGTCATTTCAGTGTTACAGAGCACTTCTTTGGGCTAGTAAGTTCTTGAATGGTCCGGTTTCTCAACAAAGGCAGGTTTTCCCTAGCTATGACACTGGGCGGTTAAGGTTTTACCTCATTTGTGAAGTCTGTCACCTGTGTTTTAACTTGAATGCTACTTTCTGGAAATCTGTGCAAATTTGAGGAAGAGAGGAATCCAAGATTAGAAAAACTTGATGACTGATTTAGAAACAGAAAGAAGCTACTCCCTCAGACAAGTAAATCGTGTGTGTGTGTGTGTGTGTGTGTGTGTGTGTGTGTGTTTTCGCATGGATTTCCATCATTTTCACATTCAGTAGAAGATCTGGTTATTACCAGAGCCCTAAAACATTTTGTGCATTTCATATCCATGTAGCTTAAGTCAGACTGACTGACGTTCTTTCCAAATTTAGGTAAAGGCAGCTAACGATGAGTGATGAAAACTTGTTTTATTATTTATATTACCAATGCCAGGCATTTGTAGGGGGAAAAAATCATTTTCAGCCCTCTGCAAGAGCAGTCCTGCAAGACGTGTGCCGAGTAGGAGTGACTTATGTTCAGAACCCCCTAATGGCATGGAGCAGCAGTCCAGATTGCTTCTAGAACAGTGCCCAAATGTACAATCGGTTAGAGCTGCTTCCCGTCTGGAAACAGGCACTGCTTAAAGAAAAATGCCGTGCCCAGCAGAATCATCCCAGGATACTTTGGATTCAAAGAGCAAAGACAACTCTGAAGAAAAGTTGACTTACTCTAGTGGTTGGAATGCAGCCCCCAGGAACAGTAAAGCTGCAGTGTGTGTAATCGGGGCTTGGTGTGAGGCGCCAGAGGAGCGGGCTGGATCCCAGGGACACCGAGCACCAGAAGGATGCCGCCTGCTTGGCTCACAGCCCCAGCAGTAGGGCCAGCTATTGTGAAGCCCCTCCGCCAGACGAACAGGGACCCTTCTCTGGTCACAATAGCCATTCACGCTGAGCAGCCTCATTAAATATTCAGCCTGTGCTTCCGGCAGCTCATTAGGGCCGCAATGAGCAGTGACGTGGATGCTGGAAAGCCGAGGGCCGGCCAGCATCAGTAGGCAGAGGCTGAGTGAGCTGCTGATGGCTTTTCTGTGAACTGCCTGTCCTATGATGACCAGTGTTTGCTCCCTGCTTTGCCTGAAGTCCAGGTAAAATAACACAACAGGCAGGGGACACCTGCGAGCTCTAGGTTCTTACCTCTGATGTGGTTTGGCCAGGGCCTTGGATTTTGAGGGCTTGCCCCCTTCAAGCCCTCTGACCCTCTCAGAGAGCTGTCTGTAGCTTCGGGGGCCTTTGCTGAACACTAACAATGTGGTGCTATTGTGTACTTGGGGCTCTTTGATGACTGCGTTTGGGAGGGTTAGAGGTGTGGTTTTGAACTTGGTGCTGGAGGTTTAGAAGATCAAATTACTCTTTTGTAACAGGTCAAATTTAGAAATATTGTGGGGGGGGGGGCTCATCCTAACGGTTTGTGCACCAAGTTTTGCTCCGTTGATGCCAAGTGTTGGTGGATTTGAGCGGTTTACTAGTATGCTTTTCCCTTTTGACTATCAGGAGATGGTATATGGTACAATAAAAACCAAAAGTAAATATTCTTCAGCTCTTGGGGAGTCTTCCGATAGATGGAATGTTGTCCTTCTTAAATCTTGTAACTTTTCCATAGGCTTGCACTCAGTGCTGTGTGGTATTTAAAGCTGGTAAAATCTGTGAAGGAAGAATTGAAAAAAAAAAAAAATGACCTCAAAGTGTATTTCTCTGGTCTCACTGTTGGCATGTTTTTCTCTTTCCTACCCAGAAAATGTTTTCAGACAGCTCATTTCTACGTGGAAGATAGCAGTTCCCCTCGGGTGGTCCCCAATGAAAGTATCCCTGTGATTCCTATTCCGGGTAAGTAAGACACACTCTTCTTTCCAGTGGGCTAATTGTTTTTCTCTTTTGTTTGCACTTTTGTGTGACAGCCGTGACAAAATATTATTTTCCTAGCCTTTGAAAGCTTGCCCTAAGAGATCCTTCACTGAGGGGGATTTAATGAAATCTTTGCTCCTTTACATATCTGCAGTGTCATAAAGTCCTCTTCAAGAGGAACAAACAGCTATGAGTTTATACAGGGTAGACTCACATGCAGGGAGGGGAGGTAACAGTAGACAAAAGGGAAAGCACAGATATTTGCAATCCACTTGGACCAGGTTTCATTTTGATAGGCAACTTGGCGCTTACTTTTTTTTTAATCGCAATTTGTGATACGGTTTTCTCGCATTTTCTCCTAAGATTCCTTCCTCTGCAAATACTTTATCTTAACGTTGGAAGTTTGGCTTCTTAGGATTTTGTGGGCAAGTCTAGGGATACACTCTTGGTCCAGGGCAATGGAATATTTCATTGGTCCTCAGGTAGAAAAGATGAAACGCTCAGTTGGTGTTAGGGGTAGGGACTGGTGGGAGACACTCTAGTGAATCCTAGCAAATGCCATAAACAGTAAGAAGTGCAGCAGCTGGTTGGTCGTAGTAGATGGGACATGGGAATTGAAGATGGTCCCACCATGTGTATTTGGCATCCCTTCCTTTTTGCCAGATTTGAACTTGCTTCCTCTGGGTTTATGTACTGGTAAATATCTATCTTTAGATATCTCTGACATCCATCCTCCTGACATTAATTATCTTTCTGTAAACAGAGGCACTACTTTCCTCTAGCGGTGCATCCCACACACCTGCAGCTCCCCTCATTCTCCAGAAAGGTCTTCCCCGTCTGATATGCCATGTATTGTCCTTGTTGGCTTATTGTCTCCTTCTCCTCCAGTGAGAGCCTCATAAAGGCAAGTGGGTGTCTCCTTAGTGCTAGAATAATACCCGGCACATAATGAGCATTTTTAATTCTCTGAATAAATGAATTCATGTCAGCAAACCTTTCTTAGAGTTCTTCAGAGGCTCTATCTGTGAAGCTCAGAGGTTACAGTCGTTCTCCTGGTGCCATGGAATGCTTCTGTTGTTTAAAAACCTTCACAAGGAGCACCTGCTTTGCTCAGTCGGTTAAGCATCTGCCTTCCGGCTCAGGTCATGATCCTGAGGTCCTGGGATCAAACCCCACATTGGGCTCCCTGTTCAGCAGGGAGCCTGCTTCTCCCTCTCCATCTGCCTGCCACTCCCCCTTGTGAGCACACACTCTGTCAAATAAATAAAACATTAAAAAAAACCTTCACTAGGTGCAGTTATGGTAGGGGAGTTAATTGAACCTTTATGTGTTGGTATATGTGAAGTCACCTTTGTGTGTCGGTATATGTAAGTCATTAGGTATTGCTGGAGTTGACCATGTTTTCTCCATTCTGGTCACCTTCTCTCACGAAAGCTTGTCACACAGAAACAAGAGGGGTAGCAGAAAAGTCTCTGGGTAAGTTCCCACTGGATCATTTCATGGCTACTAACCCATTCCCAGACAGACAGGATAGGTTTTGTGTTCCCCTCCTTTCTTCTTCACTGACCCTCACCCTTGAGTCTTGGTAGAGGAAATTGCACTCCTGCCTTTGAGAGGAGAGGAAGCAGACAGGAATCCTCAGTCTTCCACTTGCATGAAATAAGTAGTTTTGTCCAATCTGCAGGATTCATGCGCTAGCACGTGTGTATAATCATTTTCCTCTTGCATCACCTAGAATATGTGTTGACCTCTGGAAAATGCCTAGGAGCTTCTCTCTCCTCTGAACTGAGTCATCTGACAGACACAGCTGGTGGGTATCTGTACAGCTGAAGTCCATTCTATAAGGTTAAATGGTGAGGTACTTCTTGGGCTGTCTTTCAATTTTTATTTTCTTTTCCCACGGGATAGGGAATCAGAAAACCTAGGATCTCGCCCTGCCTCCGCCGTGAAACCTTTGGCCAATGCCTTGACCTCCCTGAGCCTGAGTTCCCAGAATCTGTAAAGTGAATAGGATGCTTGATCTACCTGCACTTGAGGCAGTGTTAAAACTCCAATGAGATGTTATATGTAAAAGCATTTTGGAAACTCTAAGCCAGTTGTGGAAGCGTTCCCTGCCAAATCATATTATTCATCCCAGTACCTGTGGAGAGCGAGCGTTTGCCTGGTACTCAGGTTAAGATTGTCCCGCACACTGAACCGCATTCACTGGGTGTGGCCCACCACGCCTTGCTCTTTGCCTTGGACTTGAGGATTTTCAGTTCACTAGAATCCTCAGAAAATGCCAATCCATTGTTCCTGCCTTGCTGCACCTCTGGGTAGGTGTTTCAGACCAGAAAGGCTTTTGAGTGTTTTCTCCCTCATTTCCCAGCTACCTGTTTAATCACCAGGGTAAATACAGTAGTCCTCCCCACCCACCCCCCTTTGCCGTGAGGCATATGTTCTGTCACCCCCAGTGGATGCCTGGAACTGCAGGTCTTATCAAACCCTATGTATACTGTTTTCTCCTATACGTACATACCTGTGAGAAAGTTGAATTTATAAATCAGGCACACTAAGAGATTCACAATGATAACTAATACTAAAAGAGAAGAATTATAACCATGTATTGTAATAAAAGTTACGTGGTCCCTCTCTCAAAATATCTTATTGTACTGTCCTCACCGTTCTTGTGATGGTGCGAGAAGATAAAATGCCTGTGGGACGGGCTGCAGTGAGGGGAGTGACGTAGGCTTGGTGACGTAGCATTCGGCTACGATTGTCCTTCTGACGGTACATCAGGAGGAGGAGGGGGATCACCTGCATCTGGACCGCAGCTGCAGGGACCTAAAACCCCGGATGAGGGGGACTACTGTACTCACAACCCAAGGGCGTTTATTGAAACATGAGTTTTTCCTAATTCGTACTCGCTGGTGGTGTAAGTACATGGAAAGATAATGGCTTCAGATTCTCACTGACTGAGAAATCCATGGTGGTCAGTTGTCCCTCGCTGGACATAGTAAACGCAGCCTTGAGCTGTAACGCGGCTGTGGAAATGAAATAGTTGGAGTGGGGTAGTGCAGTGTGACAGTAAAGGACGAGAAGAACCAAGAGTGAGGCCACTCTTTCTCTGTTTCCCCAGACGGCACAGCCTTCGTGGCGGGGGAGCGGGGGGTGCCGAGACCAGTCAACTCATTCACCCTTAACTGGGAAGAAGTTACTCTCCATGACCTTTCTTTGCAGATCTTTCAGTTTCATCCCATTCGCTCCCATTTTCTGAAACAAAACCCCCACTGACCTGTTTAATAGTCCCATTTGTAAAATATTTTGCAATGTATGATGCACTTCAACGATCCATTATTCTCTTTATTCTTACGGTTTCTTCTGGTTATTAGCATCTAACTATGTCATGCGTAAGAAATAAATTTTTAATAAATTCGGGGGTTATTTTCACTCTGGTAAAGCTTTCAACCTAACTCTTCCTTAGTGGAGACCTCCTTGGGATCCTTCTGAATGATTTACCCGAGGAATTATCTCGTTGTTCTTATTTCCAAAAATAGTAGGATATTTACAGAATTCATATGAAGTACTTGTTCTACCCGCTAGACCTCAGTTACATATTTTTTTAAGATTTTTATTTATTTTTGTGAGAGAGAGCGCGCGTGCATGAGCACACAGGCAGGGGTGGGAAGGGAGGAGCAGAGAAAGAAGCAGGCCTCCCACTGAGCCGGGGAGCCCGATGCGGGACTCCATCCCAGGACCCCGGGATCATGACCTGAGCCGAAGGCAGACACTTAACCGACTAAGCCACCCAGGCGCCCAAACTCAGTTATATATTTTATCCTTGTTCAAAACCTAGTAACAGGGCTACTGGGCCTCCAGTTTATCAACCTTTATCACTTGAACTCCTTATTTCCTCTGATTGTTTAAAAAAAGATATTTCCAGACAACCACTCTAGTAAACTGAACCATTATACTGGTTAAAAATGTTATGGATGCAACAGGGTAAGATCGAAAATTCAGGCACCAAACTGTTATAAAATAGAGCTTCTAGGTCATCACTAGAATGTGCAATAAGCTCTGTTCCTAGGACTTCCTTTACATTTAACCTTGTTTTTAGAAAACATCATCATGCAAATGTATTGAACGTTTACTGATGACATGGTTTATTTTCACTAGTCAGCCTTGTGGAGACAGGTGCAGTGGACAGCCTCATCTTACAGCTGCAGAAACTGAGGCTCAGAGACCCTATTAATTCGCCTAAGCTGATTGGAAGGGTGGAGCTACCACTGGAATTCTGTGTGTGGCTTCAAAGCACAGATGCGTTGAAATGGCTCTGCCATCCCTTGGCATGCTCTTCTGACAGTTCTGGTATCTCAGGACTTCAAGCTCCTCATCTGGATATTCATTAAATCAAGGCATTTCAAATACATGTGAATATCCCCTGTAGTTCGCGCCCCGCCCCGCGCCCGCCACCAAGTTCTTGATGATGATCTTCTACCAATACTGACCTTTTGCCTCTCTGCTGAGTTCTCCTACAGCCCCTCTGAATAGTTTCGTTATTCTTTTGTTGAAGTTCCTTCCTTATCAAAAACTCATCTCTAATTCTGTTCCCTGGTCCCTTTTATTCTCTTACTTTCTAAGAAAAGGACTCTCCACCCACCTATACTTCCATTCCCTGTGCAAAAATAGGCCTATGTGATTTAAATGACCTAGGGAGAAATTTATAAATACGTTGAAACTTTTGCATGATTCTGCTGCGGTTGAAGTTCATAAACAGCTCTGGTCTTTAAATCATAAACAGCATAAGTGGAATCAGTAAGTTACATTAGATTTTTAAAAAGTATTATAAAATAGGCAATGGTTAAGGAGAGCTTTGCTAATTGATCACTCATCCCTTGGAGATAGCCATTTAGTAATTTTACTTAACTGAATTGAAATTCAGGAGTTCAGAATCTTCAGTATGTTCTCCTGATTTAACATAGCAAAGACAGTCTTGTCAGAAT